GTCAGAAAACAATCATACATTATTCAACCTGCACACCGGAAAATGACAACTCACTCACTCTCTCTCTCTCTCTCTCTCTCTCTGCCTTTTCTCTCCCCCGTAATAATACTCTCTCTACCGAGTCCTCCCTCCTTCATCTCTTCGGGAGAGAGGGTTAGTCTCTCCCTCTGTGTTAAATCATTCATTGAGTTGTGGTGGGCGGCTGCCTCTCTGTCTCCTGCTGAGCCTGCAGAGAGGGGGAGGACGGGGGGGAGGAAGGAGGGGAGGATGACACGTGGAGGAGGAGGAGGACTGAACAGGAGGAGGAGGAGGAGGAAGAGGAGAGCGAAGGCCACTCTGCACTCAGAGTGAAGCTTTGTTTCAGTCAGATAAACTTCAGTCCGTCTTTATTTCACCTTCAGTTTCTCTGTTTTCATTGTGGGAAACGATCGAATGGAGATTATTGATTATTTTATTGATTATTGTATTGATTATTGTTTGTAGGCTCAAACGTCAGATGGTTGCTAACGTGGATGAATATCTAGCTAGCTTCATCCAGACGCAGTGTTGGGAAGTAACTTAAAGTAATAACATTACTTTCCCCAGTAGCTAGTAATGTAACTACTAATTAATTAATTAAGTAATAATATTACAGTTACACATTTTGTAGTAAATATATATATACACAGAAAAGTAATATAACTAGTAGTGTAACTAATTACTGTTGTCAGGCAGTGATAAATAAAGTAATATTACTTTTGTAAAGAGTAAAGAATTACAATTACTTTTGTAGTGTAGCTGGATAACGTTAGCTAATGTGATCCATCATATTAACTTACGTATTATTATTATTATTATTATTATTATAATAAACTGTGTTAATCGCTGATTATATTGTGATATTGTGATTTTGGTCGGCTAACGTAGTAAAATAACAACCTGTAAGTTTACTTTTTATTCTTTAGTTTTTAAATAGAAATATTAATAAAACTATTAAAATCTGTAATTGTAAATATTCATAAAATAAATTCTTATTTATAGGAAATGTAGTTTTTATCCACATACGAAGATTAAAAAGCATTTGCCTATCTATAATTGTTTTTGCAGATATTTAGTTTATTTAATAGATTAAATTCAAGTTTAGGACTGTTAATAGATTTATAAAATTATGTAAAAAAGTATTTTCTCTGATTTGTTAGTTAACTGACAGATATCTTTTCTGGAAGTTGAATAAATGTTGTGCTTTATCAGTGTATAAAGCATTGGTAAACTGTCCAAATACAGTTTTTATCCAGTGTAATTTCACAGATAATGACTTTTATTACAGTTCTAGAACTTTTAACATTCACATTAAAATAATAACAATCCAATAATAAACAGCACTCTGCTGTAAAATGTAAGTCTGATTATTGTTGTTATCTAGCGAGCTGTATTTATAGATCATTGTTGTTACGCACTGTAAATATCTTTAATTAAAGTCATATTACCGTTATTTTACTTTGTGTTTACAGTGTATTACTGCTAATAATCCTGCACACAGCAGCACACTCACCTCTCTGTCAGTCTCTACCTCACCCGTCCTCCCTGCCTCCCTCACCCTCCCTGGGGAGTCCTGAGAGGGAGGGCGCTGTCAACTTGATTGACAGCTCTGTTGGCTTATCAAATTAGCGCCGGCCCAGTCGCGGCTGACAGCGTTACCGACCAATAAATGCAGATTTGTGGGGAATCATAGCGAGCCATCAGCTTTGATTTGCTACTACACGAGATGTTTATGGAGCGGGAGAGAGGGCGAGAGACTACCAGCAGACTGGGGAGAGGGGGAGAGAGAGGGGCACTTTGTTTTCCCTCTCCTCGCCCTCTTTCCATCCCTCCATCATTCGATTAACTTCAGAAGTACTTCGGAGAAGAAAATATATTTAAGAGGCTGCAATTTCCGGCAGCTTTAGTGGGTTTTAGATCAATTTACAGCCGTAATGCACATTATGGTCTGTTTGGAGATGAAACAGCACACATCCACGCGAGTTTGTGCTCGTTGGAGATAAACAGCACTTGAAAGAATCGTCTGGACTTCCTGTTTTATACTCACATAAAGCAACACTGCTGCAGATCGTCATCTGTTCTACTGTTCATGTCCTTTATTTGATTCTAACATAAAATAAATAAAATTATGATCATTAATATCAAATGAAGTAACATCATTTTGTAAAAAATTCAATTAAAAAACAATAAATCCTTTGAAAAATGTCATTAATAAACTTAATTTAAGAAAAAGATGTTGATGTTTAATGAAAAGAAAATAACAAACTTGTTCCAGTCACTTTAAGTGTAAACGAGGAAGTAGAGCCGACTAAAGATTCTCCTAGTCGACGTCATCATTTTTATATCGTATGTGAAGACGAGCAACTCCTGAACGCAGTTTAACGTTTTTGTTTTTCTGCGACGGTCAGACTGATGGAAAACTACCATTCGCCCGACAAGGAAGTGAGTTTGGGGACGCTCAACGTTACGAGTGAAACCACGATTGGTCACATTTGCAGAAAAGTTCTCATATCTCAATAAATTCACTGGGATTTGTTGAACTTGTTTACAGTGTTCATAGTTAACAAATACTGTAAATACCTAATTAGCATTAGCTCCCTCTGGTTTATGGTGATCTTCCTTTGTGCTCTATCGTTCTTTCATTTTATGTTTAAAAACATAAAGTTTCCTACATTTATGCTAAAACCTGCCACAAGAGAGACAATATTTATAAGTTCAATGTAGTAAAATATTGGCTCTGACATGTTTTGTATTCATGAAACACAAAACAAACGAATAAAAACTGGTGAATTTTACATTAAAGAAATGTTTTAAAGGTTGTTTCTTGTGTAAACATTGGTATTAAAGTTGTGTAAAGTGTGTTAAGGTTCAGACTGATCAACGTCTGCTGCTCTCTGTAGTAAAGTTAAAGCTCCTCTGGGGGACAACATCAAACCTTTATTGTCCATCAGCTCATCAATCAATAATCACAGTTTTTAAAAGATGATTGTCTGACGGGGCTTCAGACAGCAGTGAACTTACTGTTTGTGGGGTCTGATGCTGGTTTATGTTTCTGATGGGAACAAATTGTCTCAGCTTTTTGGATGCAGTCGGGGTTTCTTAGCAGAATTTAATATGCTGAGTAATGACAGCAGACGCAGAGCAACAATCTATCAGAGAGAAAGGGTGGATCAGTCAACGGGGAATTCATGTTCAGGTTGTCTTTTAGAAACTGAATAAAAGCTCATTACTGTTAAACTTCTAATGGCGTTTTATTATTAAATCACTGAACTCATCCTGTCTTTATTGAGGACAAACCTTCCTCTGAGTTTGTTACCAACAGTTTGAATGTCGCACTTTGTTCTCCGTGCCGCAGACTTAAAGAATATACACAGTCGGTCTTTATCTCAACATTTTATCTATTTATGAGAAGAAACTAAAGAAAACGTTAAAAAAAAACAAACAGATAAGTTCATTTAACTTCAAAAATGGTTGAAATGTATTCAAATTGTAAGTAACAAAAACATTCTTGATCAAGTAGTTTTAGTCATTTTGAAATGTTTCATTTGTGGTATCTAGTAAAAAGTGCAGAATCAAGAATGTTTTTAACTTACAAAACTTAACTTAAAATTATTGAACACGTATGAAGTCTGTCTGAGTTTTAAAAGTGATTCAAAATCAGTGCTGGGGGTAACTGTGATCAGATTACATTTGTCTTTAACACATTACTGTTGATAACGGCAGTAACCACATTACAGTTACAAATCAAAAATGATCTTGTTACTTGCGTTTCTTTGGAAGGACCGAAAACACAAATCAAACGTCCCTTTCTATGGGTGCTTATGCAACGCTCGTTTGACCCTACGGTTTGACCTCACTCACGTCACGTGACATGTAGACGTGACCATAGAGCGGACGTGACTCGAGCAGGAGCAGA